AAGAGCCACGTACAACTGTCTGACTGAAAACGGGGTTCTTCAAAACTAAGTCGACGTGAGAGTGAGTGAGTGAGAGAGAGAGAGAGAGAGAGAGAGAGAGGGTGACCTTGACTCTTGTTGATCGTCATAGCATAGAAGACCATGACAGGAAACTGTCGTCGCTGAAACTTGAACGTTGCCTCAAATCTGAAGGAATGATTGTGATCCTTGGAATAAGAACCTTATCACCAGCTCTGGCACCTGTTAAAAATTTGCACTCAAGGACATGACTGCTGAGCTTAGTAATAACCATATTCGTACCGTTACACAACCTTATTGAATGATCAATTTTCCTCAACAGTATCACTGGAGTACCACATTCAAGTGCAATTTATGATTCGAAAGTCCCGAGCACTTAATCTCATTCAGAAATTAAGCAGTATGAAGATCTTGAAGAGAGTCATATCCAACATCTGATTTGCATGCGGTGTCCGAACTCAAATAAGTCCTCGCCTCGGATGAGCTCAATGAGCTCAGATACTCGTTAACGATCTCAACCACAAAAATGTGGGACCGAGGATGGCTATGTCATTCAGACAGCTAAGGTCGTGACCGAAACTCCTGAGCATTGGGTATGTTCTCACAACAATAGTAGCAATAAGATTCTCTCGTGATTTCAGAATAATATCATCGGGAATTTCGATGTAGACACATCGTTCGATCTACCAAGTGTTCCGTCTCCAATGCTCGCAAGCCACTCCGAGAAAGTCCTTCAGCTCTGTTGTGTACAAATTATTCTTTTTACCGAGTACCGAATCGAAAGATTCGTTTCCCGGGTCGATCTCACGAGGAAGGCGGTTCAGAATTTAGCTTTGGTATCGATAACACAAAAATGAAAAATAAATCCTAAACACTGTAATCAAATAAGGGATTAAATATTTATTATCTAAGAAATAAAATAAAGCAACAATCTACCTAAAAATATAAACGAAAGAAAGATTGAGAAGCTAGAGAATCGGGAATAATCAATTCAAGTTTTATCCACAAAATTGAGGTATTAATTGTTCGATTTAAGATTGACACTCTCGCTTAAACATCTAGCGGTTCGCTCCTAATAACTTTTCGTAACAAGGGATTAAACATAGACGAGCAAGTTCGAGCATACGATGCCGGCCTAGAGGTTCGATTCCAATAACTCACGTAACAAGGAATGGGACATAGGCAAGCATGTATTTCAACCCAAATCTATAGACTATTCCGTTAGGAAATCATCTATCTTGTGCAAGCCAAAGACTACAATTTTTCCCCTTTCGGTTCTGAAGATTGCTTAATTAAATCAGAGGGTGATTAACCGATTAATTCTTAGAATCAACAAAACTCTAACTCGACAAAATCAATATCCCAATATTTCTAATTGCAAGATTGAAATGTCACCCTTCAATTATATCAAT